CCCTATTATTACCCACAAGGGTAAAGGAACAGCACCACTGCTTGATAACTAAAACGTTCCAATGTGTGTCAACCTCCGTGCTCCGTGGCAAGGCAGACTGGCAAAAATGCCCAACCTTTACTCATATTCGAGAAAACACTCCCAACAAGATTGCTTGCTCAAAAATCGAAGAGGCACAGTTCTCCGAATCTTGAGAGCCAGACTTCCAACAGGATTACATGCTCAAAAATCGAAGAGGCACCGCCCTTCGAATCTCGAGAGCCAGACTCCCAACAGGATTACTTTCTCAAAAATCGAAGAGACATTGCTCTCCGAATCTCAAGAGTCAGACTCCCAACATGATTACTTTCTCAAAAATCGAAGAGGCACCGTTCTCTGAATCTCGAGAACCAGACTCCCAACAGGATTACGTGCTCAAAAATCAAAGAGGCACAGCCCTCCGAATCTCGAGAGCCAGACTCCCAACAGGATTACTTTCTCAAAAATCAAAGAGACACTACTATCCGAATCTCAAGAGTCAGACTCCCAACATGTTTGCTTTCTCAAAAATCAAAGAGGCATCGTTCTCTGAATCTTGAGAGCCAGATCCTCGACAGAATTGCTTGTTTGAAAACCGAAGAGGCACCGCTCTCCAAACTTCAAGAGCCAGATTTCCTTGGATAAAACTTGTCTGCAATCTTCACATGCAACATCAGCTTTTTAGATACCACATACCACTTTTTCAAAGTGCTCTGACAAAGTTAAAACACGTGAAGCTTGCAGCTCCCACTACATTGCTATGACCAAGAAGAGTAAATGAATAACACTATTACTTGTTGTTAGGGAGACTCCTATATATGTCGACCTTCATCCTCCACAACTAGGCAGACCTGCAAATAAAAAAAATACTCAACTTTTCTTCACATCCGAGAGGGCACTCTTAGCAGAGTCTCTCAAAATACTCAGTTTTTTTTCCTCCCGATAATACCTCTACAAACAAGCCACACCAGAGTAAGAGTATCTTATATCATCAGGGTTAAAAGTAAGAGTATCTCATATCATGCTTTTTCCCTGTCTTTTCCTTTGGCCTTGTTCTTACCTGCAAGACAAAGAGAAAGAGAGCAATCAATCAGCACTTGGAATCAAGCTTCCAGTCAGGAACTGACTGCCTGGAACCCCTTGCCTGATTACTTACCTGGCATTGCTCTCGAGTACTCATCTTCAACATCTTATGCTTCCAGAGAAGATACCACATCTGCCTGAGGAACAGATAGGGCAAGTGAGAATGATACAAGGAAGCATGTAGAGACAAGCATAACATAACACGTGCCGATACATTCACTACTTTGTCAACAGTAAAAGTATCTCATATCATCAGGGTTAAACGTACTCTAGATTTGATGGACTTGTTTTGAACCTTAAATTATTGAGTCGGCCTTATACTCTGGAGGAAACCAAAAAACCCTCCAGCCCAGTTCAAGAATAAGCCTGTGGAAAGTTACTTCTTCAAAAGTAAAAGTATCTCATATCATCTCTTCTTCATTTGCTTCTCATTATCCTTGTTGATGTTTACGACACAAAGAAAAGGAGAACAATCAACCGGAAGCCGAAGTCGAACCTCCAATCCAGGTTACTTGCTTGGAAGTCTGATTGCTTACCTTGTCTGTTACCTCTTCGGTAAATCTCCTAGCTCGGCGACTTGGGGGACTCCTACTATAAGGTTTGTATCGCACTTGACCAAGCCTGAAACTACAAGTAAGCTTCAAGTGAAATTGATACATTACCTTGTGCATCTTCATCGGTTAAAGATACCATCCCTGGATGGAGGAAAAGTACTTCGGTACTTAGAAGTTTCATGATTACTCAATGACTTGGATCTTGCAAGTCCCCAACCGAGGAGCTTCCCTCACTCGGGAACTTAGAGAATCACTGTTTGTACCATACTTGACCAATCCAGAAACTACTGAGCACCGGTCAACGTTATACCGTCAAAGACCCAGAAGAGTTTCCCTCCAACCAGAAGGCCAATCACAGCGCGACATGTGTCGACATCAGAAGCCAATCATAGCGCGACACGTGTCAACATCAGAAGCCATCACAACACGACATGTGTCAATGTCAGAATGAAACTAGAAACTCTCTTCTATAAATAGAGATCATTCTATCACAATATTTCCTAATGTCATTTATACTAAATCATTCACTAATACTCGCAAAGGGAGAGTTTGAACCTATGTACTTGTGTAAACCCTTTACAATTAATGAAAATTCTTCTACTCCGTGGACGTAGCCAATTTGGGTGAACCACGTACATTTTGTGTTTGCTTCCCTGTCTCTATCCATTTACATACTTATCCACACTAATGACCGAAGCAATCTAGCGAAGATCACAAACTTAACACTTTCTATTGTACCAAAATCCTCACTGATTTTGTGCATCAACATTATTACTAGCTACTTGTGTCGAAAAATTTGTTAAACCTACTGGTTCTTTATCTAGCTTACTAATTTCTTTTAAAACTTGGATATATTTTCTGCTAGTTATAGAATTGATCATTAAACTAATAATCTATCTATTATGCAACTTATCTACTTGTTCACTCAACTCTTTTTGCACTAATTGAATTTTTTGAACTTCTAATTTTAACTGCTTAACTATTTCTAATGATCTGAGTTCTACTTGCTTAAGCTTACTATCTATAAGGTCAACAAGCTATTTTATCTCTTTTGCTAGGAAACCTTTGAATATTTTTATTATTATCTCTTAACTGAGATGTAATATAATCTAAATTTTGTCTAATTGTTTTTATGAAATTTTTTAGAAAATGCTCTAACAACTGGTTTAACAAATGATTATGCCTATTATTTTCTAATTTTATATTTTCTGTTTGACTAATAATAAGATCTACAATACTATTGACTTGTGGATTTTCTTTACTATGCAAAATATGATTATGCTTTCTCAATGAAAAATAATAAACTAAACTAATTTGGTCTAAGGTTATTTTTCTTTTTTGAGGTTCACTAATTTCTAAATTAAGGTAATCTATCATAAACTACAGTCTACCTTTCTCTAAAGTTATGGCTAATTGGTTTCTTAGAAATTCTTTTTCTTCTCTTAGTGTCTCTAAAACTTGACATGTTGCTCTTTTTGCTGCACTTCTGTATTATTATATTTACTAATAAATGAAGGATGTTCAAGATAACTAAGATAAAACTTCTGCTTCTTCAAAGTCCTGCTAATTCTTTTGGATATATATATATGTTAATCTTCTCTTTATGCTAGTTATAGTTGGGTGTCTAGGACAATAAGTACTTGATGGTTATGGTTGACAAAGTCTACAAGGACAATAATATCTCTTATTCATAAAAATTTAAACTAGTGTGATATATGTTGTGTTAATGACTTCTGTCATCAAGGTACTTTACTATTATAATTATACTATTAAAATGCTAAACTTGGCTCAGATACCAAATTCGTTAAGCAGACTCGATTAAATTGTTGGATGACTATTATAACAACTAGATATAAAACCTTGCACATGGAACTCGACATGTTTCAGCATGACGGCCACCATGGTATAAAATATCCATAATATCCCGATATTTCCATCGAAATTTCCGTGTTTTTAGACTACCGATATTTTTTTGGACTACCAATATTTCTGATATCATCGATATTTTAGACATTGCTAAGTCACTCATATATCTTACCATGCAATGTATAAAGTATAAAATATTGTACTAATTCATTATATATAAATAATTATGGTGTGTTTAAACTTCTTTTATTAATTACTACATATTTTCTAAACTCACAATGTTTGCCAGCTCGCTATATAATCAACTTAAATCAGTTATATCTATCATGCAATGCATTTCCTTCCAATTTTTTGTAATAAACTAATAGATAATTGACTAAATAAACATCTTGCAAAGTTTCAATAAAAATTTCCAAGTTTTTCTTACAATTTCCGTGGTTTTTATTCAATTTTTATCGATATCGATAATATCCCGATATTTCCATCGAAATTTCCGTGTTTTTGGACTACCGATATTTCCGATATCATCGATATTTATACCTTGACGGCCATTCATAATGCAGGTATAAGACCTTAACGGCTGAACTCAAAGGTACCCTGGTTAATGCCTAGTTATTTGTATGGTAAACATTCAACTATAACAGAGTGCTTGAACAAAATATGATCGTTAGTTTAGCAGGTTAATAATATAACTGCAATAATGTTTTCCTATTTTGGACTAGACGTCTTAATTAAACAAACATACTAAAGAAAAAAAGAAAACTTATTTAAGATTTGGAGATTTCTTGAATCTGTACACTTGAACTTTTATTGATATATAGAATGTTTACAAAGAGAAGTGTTTACAAAGAAGTGTTTACAAAAGATACTAGGAAGGTTTCGAATGCTTGAGTGTAAGAGGATTGAAGTATGGTGTGAGTATGGTGTGTATCTCGTGTGCCCTTACAATGAAAGGAATTCTCCCTATAAATACAGAATGAGAATACTATGATATTAAAACTCTTTACAAATGAATGTGTAGACGTATCCTTGGTATTTGTCATTTGTCACTTTACTTCTACTGTTGCTGAAATTGTCAGCACTGTTTCTAAAACGTGGTCTGACTTATTTGTCTTCTTTTGCCTTGTTTTAATGAATGGATGTGAACTTAGTTGTCTCATTTTGCATGTCAACTTGTGCATGACTTGTTTCCTGGAGCCCATAACTTTGTCATTTGTATTTGATTTGATGAAGAGCATGTGACTTTTGATGGATGTTGAAGATTGAAATACTTTTTTTTTTTCTTTTTCTATCAGAAAGTTTGCAAGGGCGGCTATTTTTGAAATTATTTGTCCTTATGATTAAATGAAAGTTTTCTAGAATGTTTTCATTAGTTTTCCGTTTCCCTAATACATAAGATATAAGATAAAGATACCTAGACTAGAAATACGAAAGTGCCCCTAACCTAAAGAGATTAGACGATATCTTTACCCCGCATCTCCTATCTCTCTCTCTCTCTCTCTCTCTCGATTCCCAATCAGTTCCTGCGTGCCTGTGTGTTTTCACTTGGGCGCCGCAGCAGCTCCTCAAAGAAACCCTAACCCTAACCCCCAAATCCCTCTATCCGCGACGCCCTGCTCCCCTCCTATAATGGCGAAAAAGAGAAAGCTCAGCTCCACCGAGCCCTCCGAACCCTCCAAGAAGCAACAACAGGTCGTTGAGGAACCCAAACCCCAAATTGAACCAGCACAGGAAGTAGTCGAAGAGGAAGAAGAAGAAGTCGAAGAAGAGGAGGTGGAGGAGGAAGAGCCGGAAGAAGAGAAGGAAGATGAAGGAGCCGATGAAGAGGAAGAGGAAGAAGAGGAGGACGAAGAGGAGCCGGGCGCTGAGTATAAGGAAACCTATAACGTAACCACGACCTCCATCTCAGCGGCTTCGGATCAGGCCGGTGCCGGTAACGACGAGGACGAGCCGATCCAGAATCTTCTAGAACCATTCACCAAGGAACAGCTTATGGCCCTGCTCCGCGAAGCTGCCGATAATCATGGCGACGTGGCGGATCGGATCCGGAAGGTTGCGGATGAGGACCCAATCCACCGCAAGATCTTCGTCCACGGTCTCGGATGGGATACCAACGCCGAAACCCTAACTGGCGTATTTAGGGAATACGGTGAGATTGAGGATTGCAAGGCTGTTTGCGATAAGGTCTCTGGTAAGTCCAAGGGTTACGGTTTCATTCTCTTCAAGACTCGTTCTGGGGCCCGAAAAGCCCTACAGCAGCCCCAGAAGAGGATCGGTAATCGGATGACTGCATGCCAGCTGGCGGCAATTGGCCCTGGCCCGGCTCCTAATGCCGCTGCTGGACCTGTGGTGGCCCAGGCGGCTCAGTCCCAGCCAATGTCTGAGTACACTCAGAGGAAGATCTATGTGAGCAATGTTGGGGCGGACTTGGATATCCAGAAGCTGCTTATGTTCTTTTCTAGGTTTGGAGAAGTTGAGGACGGGCCACTAGGGCTCGATAAGCTAACGGGGAGGCCTAAGGGGTTTTGCTTGTTTGTGTACAAGTCGGCAGAGAGTGCGAAGAGGGCTCTGGAAGAGCCACACAAGAATTTTGAGGGCCATATTTTGCATTGCCAGAAGGCTATTGACGGTCCAAAGCCGGGCAAGTCTCAGCACCAGCACCAGAACCAGCACCACCACAAGTCACATAATTCCAAGTTTCAGAGGAATGAGAATCCAGGTTATGCAGGTGGAGCTGCATCAGGAATGGGGCATTTGATGGCGCCTGCGAGTGGAGGGATTGGATTTAATCAGGGGGCTCCTGCAGCCCAGGCGTTTAACCCGGCAATTGGGCAGGCACTGACTGCTTTGCTTGCAACACAGGGAGCTGGCTTGGGGTTGACAAACCTTTTGGGGACGTTTGGATCTGCTCCAAATGTGAACCCAGGTGTTCCTGGTGCAGGACATGTGATACAGGGTGGATATGGGAATCAGGCAAGTATTAGTCCTGGGATGATGGGAAGCTATGGAAATCAAGGTGCAATGCAAGGTGGCTACCCTAACCCGCAGTTAGGGCAAGGTGGTTCAGGAAGAGGGCAGCATGGCGTTGGGCAATCTGGTGGCGCTCCGTACATGGGGCATTAGGTGCCCATGAGGTATAACAAATTCGCTCTTTTACTTGATAATTTGAGTCATTCTCATCCAAAATGATAACAAGCCACTCCTATACTTACTCCTTTTTGGTAGATGGCAGTAAATTTGGCATTTAGATTGATTTTCAAGAACCAAATAAGTGACTTTTCAAAAGCCTATAAATCCCTCCACTATGTAAGGTTTTGTTAATATTGTCTAGCTGCCGCTGAATCTCTTATATGGGAGTCAGCACAAACCAATATTGAAAATTTGGGGTGGGTTAATTTCAACCCATTGGTATTTTCCGGGTTCTTCTAGACCATACAGATAATTTTCTCTTGCCTTCTTTTGAATTGAACATCTTGGGTTCGCCCTTCTTGAACTATTTGATAGTGTCTGTTACTTGCTTGATATGTTGGCCTCCAAATCTATTGCAATTCTAGTTCTGTCAAATATTACAGAATTTCAGGGTAAAGAGTCACTAATGAGAATACCTTGTTTTGTGGAAGGTGGTTTTTGGCATGCCACTATATAGATCTTTAGGTTTTTGCATAGATCCTGCTATATGTTCTCTTTTTGACATGTATTGTGTCGTGCATATGTTCTATCAGTCGGAGGAGTATCTACTATTGAGGTTTAATGCAAATGCTGACGTTTACTTTGTGCTCCATTAAACCAATCCAAAGTCCAAACATTCGGATGTCGAGCTTGTACTCATGTTAAACCATTCTAAAACCTAAAAAACGAACGCTCATGAGTTCTAAAGCTTATTTTGATTGAGTGGTGCATTATTTGAACAAAGTGTTTAGAATTGTTTGACCATTTGAAGGCTCCTTTTTTACCAAGCTCCTAATAATGGATCTCTCCAAAGTTGTTATATTTATGTATTGTGAATCACCTGAGTTTTTGCAGCAAGTTCATATCGGCATTCCATGTGTAATTTAAATGTTGAGACCAGTTCGCCTTTTGAACTTGAAATCTAACTTGTATGCCTTTTAAAGGTATCTTGGGTGCTAAAACCTTCTCTTTTGAAATTATTTTTCACATATTTTTATTAAATGTGCAGATCCCACATAGGTGCATCAGTCTTTTTGTACTGGTCTGCTGATTCTTCTGAAGTTTAAAAGGAGCTGATGGTTACTACAAAGAGCAGAATCTTAAAACTATCAAATTATATTTCTGTTTTTTCTCTCCTTTTCTGTTTTCGCGTTCTTCAAAGTGCTGTAGCTTTTAATTTGACTTGTTTGATCAAGAGTTTGAGAAATTACTTATAAATCTATCTGTATTTTATGGAGTCAGCGGGGTTGGACAAAATTACTTTTTTAATTTCCCAAATCCTACGGATTAAATGAACTTGATAATGTAGTAATTTTTTTAACTGCTCATTGTTAACTTTGTTTATCGGTGCTCTTCATTGTTTTTCCTGGTTTTGCATAATTTGTTTTTAATCTATGGCATCGTAAATTGGAAATTTTAAATTGTTTTTGTGAGTTGGAAACTGGTCCCAAATGGCGCTCTGTGAGTTGTGATGTTTCGTTTGAAACATTTGGGCACCATCAGACCTTAGACTTTTCTCTTTAGATGATAACATGATTCAATTGTTTAATGCAGTCCTTTGGCAGGTATACGTGATGCAGGTTCTGCGGCAATAAGTACTACTACGATTTCTACTAGCTACATATACAATCTTTGCAATAGAAGTGTCTTGATTTAAAAAACTTGTCAGACGTTGATGGATTTTTTTGATTGAGAATTTTTGTTTTTGGTTTTTTTTTTTTTGAAATTTTGATATCCCCGTTTCTGAAGAATAGTTAAACTAAGAAGTATGCGTTTGTGATATACCATCTTTACAATAGAAGGGTCTTGGTTTTAAAAAAAAAAAAACTTGTCAGAAGTCGATGGATTTTTTTGATTGAGAAATTTTCTTGAAATTTTGATAGCCCAGTTTCTGAAGAATAGTTAAAACTAGGAAGTATGCGTTTGTGATGGAAGTTTTTCTGGAAGCTATGTTTTCTTTGGAACCGAGTCACTTTGAGAGTTTACCGACTGAAATTCTAATACCTGAAATGCAGTTTTGTGACACGAGACTCTGACTTGTTAATGGTTTTTCGTTGAATTGAAAATTAGTTTTTGACCAATGTGTATTAAAACTCGGAACTATTTTCTAACGGTAGACTAATTTATCTATTGTTTAATCCTTTTGAGTTTTGAATTAGGATTTGTGATCAGTTTCTAGTATATTGGTTGGTCGTGTCACCACACCATGGGTATAGAGCTTGTAGCTGTGGTCTTGTGGTTTTATCTTCATCGATTAAAACCATTAACATCATGGTAATACCCATGAGCGAAACAAAATTCCGTGGACCTCAGTATTGGTGACACTCCTCAGGGACTAATTGATAGGCTTCATGGGAGGAAGGTAAAAAATCGCACGAGGTAATTGAAGGCTTCATACTATACTTTAGCCCCCATTGATGGCCTTTTTGAAATCTCGGTTGCCAAGCCTAATGAGGAGGGTTTGATCCGTGGGTCGTCTGTAATTGTGAAGATGGTAACTCCCTTGACTGTCAATGCGAATTCCTCTGATTTGAGATTTGTAATCCCACGGGTCAAGTGTAATTGAGATTTGTAATTGTCTCTCCTTTCCTTTCTTGCCATGGAGAGTGAAGAACAAGTTATATGTTTTGAAGGAGTGTTGGTCAAATGACCGAAGCAGGCGGCACTGCCCAGAAAGCTCTCCCACCTTCTCATGCTCACCCTCAATTGTCTCCTCGGGTTGCCATTTTGAGAGTCGGTGTGATGCGTCCTCGGTGTTCATCGCCGCTTCTCTGACCTATACCGTTAATTTTTACTGCCTTATGATATTTAGCTTTCCCCCACCCTCTCTCCTCTTACATTGCCTTTTCATACCCAAGCCTTCATCTCCCCCACCCTTTCCCTCTTCCTTCCTCATAATCCGTCCCTAGCCCAATGTATGCTGAGATTTGTGAGCTTTGGCTGAAATGGATGCCATATCCATTTTCCTTCCTTAGTGACCCTCCACCGATTGGTATGTTGGAATTCTCTCAGGGGCAAGCTTTTTGCAGCTTCGGCCAAAGTAAAGGGATTTTACATACCCCTTTGGCTCACCCTCCATTTGCTACTGTGTTTGATTATATTTGCAGGAGTTGGTGAACGTGATTTGGATCCGATGGCTATCTATTGGTTCGGCATCTCCGATAACCAAATCTGGTTGTGGTGTGCTTTTGGTTGCGGTTTTGTAATTTTTGTGTTGGAATGTCTTGATTGAACTCACCACTAGATTGTTTTCTCTAGTGTTTTGGCCTTTAGTGGCTGCTGGCAAGACGTTAGTGACGGCAGCGACGGTTGTGTTTTGCGTTTGGAGGATCGGAATTAAAGTTTTTGTTTTTGTTTGTTTGCTTATTGGGCTGAGCTTTTGTGTATTTGAATTTCCAAATGTGTTATTGGTTGCTTTGCTTTCCTTTGGATGGCCTCGTGAACCCTTTCTTATGCTTAATGAATGTTACTTTCCGACCCAAAAAAATTCCCCCTCTTCCAATTTCATTGATAAGACTCGGACAAGAAAAAGTAAAAATATATTTAAAAAAAGGCATTAAGAATTTTCTAAAATTAAATTTTAAATATAAAAAAATTGACATTAATGATGTGGTAGAAATTAACACACAAATTAAACTTTGTAGATTATGCAATTGTAGTAAGTAGGGATTGTTTTCTTCCAAGAATTATAAGGAATGCTAATCAATACAAATTAAACTTATAAAACTAAAAACTAAGTTAAAAATTGATAACAAAACAGAGATTGAGGAATTTTGGACTAATTTAATTAAAACAAAAGTAAATGACAGCAAATAAATTAAGTTGTGAACGAAATATGGATAAAATGATAGTTAAATGATTCTTCTACACACATAATAAAACATATGCATACAAATTGATTTCCAGTTGTTATTCTTATAAACCATGAATGACAATGCCGCAAATTAATCGTGAACAACATTAATTAACTCACAGATTTTCCTAGTTCATTGAATTGGACTTAGCAACGTAACCAAATTATTCTTCTCAAGTTCCCTAACTATGAAAATCATGACAAAGATACATCTCAAATATCATCAAGTTCTATGAAAATCATAAGCATTGATGAAACATTCATAACTATGAAATACATGATACTCCTGTCAAGAATTTACTTAACTCAATCATGACTAGTGACTTTTACTACTTATAAATATAAGTTCATAATGATTAGGTGAAATTCCCTTATATACTAGCATCAAATCCCTGTATGCAAATTAAGTATGCATCCTTAATAAACATACAAGAATAAGTTATCTTTAAGGCAGATAAGTAAATCGCATTCATGTTTTATGAAATAATAACTGGATGTAATCAATTTATATAAAACATATGATCATGACTTCAAATTCACATCTAGTTAAAAAGAAAATTAGTTACACATGTTCATCATAATTGAAAAGAAATCTAAAATAAACATTGAAACTTAAAACAAAGAAAGACCTCTGAAAACTCTAGAAACTTCAACGGATGAATGGTAGGCAAGACACACTTCTAAAACGATGCAGGACTATATATATATGGGGCAGAATCCAAGGGGAAAAGGATTAGGCGTTTTGAGTGTTGGAATGTGATTATGATTCTTCATTGCAACTGGAGATAAAATATGATAAGATAATGTTTCAGTCCAACTGGGATTCCTCTTTCTTGTGCAATTCCTTGTCTTCCTAGCCTCAACTATAATTTCTCCAGAATTTAGCACACATTTAACACCTAAAACACCAAAAACGTCCAACCCATATGCTATCCACGCATGCTATCGAGTCCAAGTCTAAAGCTGCTCCAAATTGCTCGATTTGATCTCTAATTGTCGCAAGTGTTTGTACCATACTTGACCAACCCCGAAACTACTAAGCACCGGTCAACATTATACCGTCAATGACCCACAAGAGTCTCTCCAACCAAGAGGCCAATCGCAACGCGACACATGTCAACATTAGAGGCCAATCATAACACGACACGTGTCGACATCAGAGGCCAATCACAGCACGACACGTGTCAATGTTAGAATGAAACTAGAAACTCTCTTTTATAAATAGAGATCATTCTCTCACAATATTTCCTAATGTCATTTGTACTAAATCATTCACTAGTACTCACTAAAGGAGAGCTTGAACCTATGTACTTATGTAAACCCTTCACAATTAATGAGAACTCCTCTACTCCGTGGACGTAGCCAATCTGGGTGAACCACGTACATCTTGTGTTTGCTTCCCTATCCCTATCCATTTACATACTTATCCACACTAGTGACCGGAGCAATCTAGCGAAGGTCACAAACTTAACACTTTCTGTTGTACCAAAGTCCTCACCGATTTTGTGCATCAACATTTGGCGCCGTTTGTGGGAACGACACTTATTCCCACTCTCTTCAGCTTTGTTAAGCTGGTTTCCACCATTCGTACACACTCTTTTGACTAGGCATCCCTTTCCAATATGGGGAGCGAAGGAAGCCATAACACGCAGAATGACATCCCTCTTGCACATGGTGCGAAGCAACGAAAGAATGAACAAAAGAAGTTTGCTCTTTAGGCTAAAGTCGATGAGCTTGAGACTCAGAACAACAAGATAACGATGAAGAATGAGATCCTCCAAGAGCAGTATAAGAAAGTCTTCGAGATGCTCCACGAGGCTAGATATACTAAACACACGAGCTCATCACCCTTGTGGAAGTCAACCATCAACTGGGTGCCCCTCAACACGGAGGGTCATTTGCCCTCGACCTGGATATTCCTGTTGAGGAGCGAGCTACTCATCGAAATGGCGACTAACATGAGACTTCTTTCAACTCAGCTGCTTCGACTCGAAGCAGAAGGAGTGGAGGAAGATACCTCCTTACAGAAGGAGTGGAAGGATCGAAAGTCATCTTTCGCGACTGTCGAGACTTCATAAAGCAACGTCGAGACAATCCCATCCATGTAAACTCGAAGATCAATGACCCAAAGGTATCTGAAAGACTCGGTCCCCTCACATGTCCCAGACGGGCTACTAATTTGGGGAAGGGGCAACAAGTCCTAGAGAAACACGAAGGTATAGGGGACTTAGAGATGTTCCGACAGACATACATTGGAAGTCAGTACGGCGAGTCCAGGGAAAAATCACATGCTCTTAATCAAACCTTCCTACTTCCAAGAGTAGATGGAGATTTACGAAAGAAATCTCTAGTGGTACATGACTCCACTCAGGACCCTCTTGTCCTACAACTCTTTAAGGAAGTAAACAAGTTGAAAGCTGAACGACAAGCTAAGATACCTGATTGGAACCAACCTAGGCCTGACCCTCTTACAAG